ACACACACACACACAAACACACAAACACACACACACACAACACACATACACACATACACACACACATACACACACAAACACACACACTCATACACACACACAAACACGCACACACATACACACACACATACACACACACAAACACGCACACACAAACACACACACATACACACACACATACACACACACAAACACACACACTCATACACACACACAAACACGCACACACACACACACAAACACACACACATACACACACAGTCCTATAAGGTGCAGGAAGGAACCAGCGGCCACACCTGGGCGCTTGAGAAGTATAATGATGTTTTCAGGCTGCAGTGTCCAGAAGAGGTTTACTTCCGGGCCGTAGGTGATTCCACAGGGTAGGATTGGCGAGTCTCCCTCTATAGTCCACACATCTGCACCTGTGAGTGAATGAAGGAGTGAGTGATCACTAATATACTGTGGAGAAAGTTTCCCTTTTAATTGCATATACCATAAATCAATTCACATTCTACACACTTTAAAACTGAAAGTCTGTTGATCTCTATTATCCCAAGGCATTCCCCCAACCCAAGCTACATGTAACTTCATAATCATTTGATCACAACAAATTTACATTAAGATTCTTCTTTCTCTCCATTGTTGCTTCTGGCAACGTTAAGTTGACATGATGGCATCCCAACCCCCTATTTCCCTTCAAGTTTATAATACATATTTTTATACTTCCGCATCTACGAACCACGTTACATTCCCCCCCCCCCCCTCCTCCCCCTCTCAAGTACCAAAGACTACAATGAGAACTATGTATCAAATCTTAACATACCCTGGATTCCATGTAGGCTTAGACAGAAAACCAGCACGAATCCAAGCACGTCCACAGGACGTCCCATGCCGTTTTTTTTACGTCCGATACTCTAGTATTTACCCGACACAAAGGTACTGAGCTCCTGTTGCACGAAAATATGTACTCAGCTTGTTTTTCTGTTCAATGCTTCTCATCCGGTGAGTGGGTGGGATCCAGTTCTTGTCAGAAGTAGTTGTTGTTAGTTGATCCAAGTCGCTTGTTGGTAGTTGATCCAAGAGTTCACTTAGAAATAAAAGAGGTTTTAGAGAACCGGCAGTATAGAAACCCCCTACAACTTCCAACAATCACATATACTCGCCCTCGAAGCAGGTTTTTGTTGCTATAACTCACTCACTCGTAGGCGTATTTTTTCGGGTCCGCGACTACGTGACAAAGTCCAGGTGTACGTCAGACGACGTCACCGATTCCAGGTGAACGCCACGCCTTCAATACGCAGGGGGTCTGTCTATTTACCGGAATACACCTGAATACACCGGAATATACATAAATGAGGCTTAAATCTACCGGAGAGCATCCTGCATTGACGGGATAACACCCAAGGTTGCTGTATTTTGGCATAAGATATTCAACTTAACTTTAAATTTAGCCCAAGGAACAAGAAATCACGTAAATAATGAATTGTAAATCAGCGGAAGCGACCCGGCCAGTCGCCATGTTTACATAGCACAACGTAATATATTTGTTTAACGCGATCACTGAAGAGAAGTGAAATGTACCAAAATAAGAAAAATATTTTTTATACTTCAACATCGCAGTTTGCTATATTTTGACCATACGATAACTTATACGTGGCCGAGGGAACACTGAATGAAATTCGTAAATATTACAAGCAATTAAACAAGAATTACGATTTCTCCCACATCCATAAAATATATGAGGTTTTGTAAATGCTTTTTTTTTGTCTCATTGACTATGGAAATAAGGTCGTAATGAACACATTCTAGTTTAATTTACGGTTTTCTAAATTCAAATGACAATATTTTTCGTGTAAAATTCCTCTCCTTTGTCATACTTTATTTCAACATATTCTCATTAATTATGCAAATGACCTCTACATTAACATTAGTATTAGTATAACTATTCGTTTATATCGGTCGTCACTGCACCCCGTACAGTTTGTTCCTTAAATTTGTGACGATTTTGGGTCAGATGCCACATTTTTTACTGCTGTAAGGTTTAAAATGTATCATTTTTGAGAACAATAATATGTACACAGTGAATAGAAATTGTTGGAGTCTAGTTACAGTCAGTGGTTGACAAGACAAAAACAGACAACAGATTTTTGACCCCATGACTCAAATTTATTCCGTATGTACGAATCTCAAGATGTTTCCACATCTCGTCACAGGACATAATACAGTACATCTTGCCAATCTACACCTTACAACACAGTAATCAAGAGACAACAGTTCACTTGTCAACGGATTGAATAAATTTTACTAAGGTTTACCTCAATATGTCAATCAATATTTAACCTATGCATATTCTCAGTGTAGATAGTCAGAAGAGTAGTTTACAGACAACGATTACTCAGAGCACCAATAAAATGTATGTAAAAAATAGCAAACCAGATCAACCTAAAACATTTAGCATAGAGGCAATGTACTATATAACAGATATCGATATAAGCCTATTTGTATTGATAAGTGAACTTTGTCGCATTGAATCCTGTGTTCTTCATGTTGAGTCATTGTCATATTACCCCATTTTTCACCTCGATATTTTTAGCTGAAAGTAAGAAACTATGAAAAAGTGTATCATGTAAATATGAGCAGATTCTAGAATACAGGAAAATAGCAAACGAAGCTTTGTATACAAGGTTAGAATAGAAGAGAAAAGGCTTAGTTATGGTTCATAGAAATATTCTTTATAGAAATCACCAACTGATAAAACGCATTAGTTGCTGTCAATTTGATGCTTAGAAAATGAAAAGCCTAGTTGTCACAATCTGCATCAGAGTCTAATCACTACTGTACCTGAGCAAAACATTCAGATGTCCCAAAGGCCCATACTTGCTATATTATCCAAGCTCTTAAACTTTATCGCAGCCGCTAGCTTTCTACTACAAATAAGCGTCATCATATAGCATATACGACATTTGCATAAATATAGTTCACTGTGTAACCATGAATGGAAAGCCTATGCCACCGTTGGTATCTGTATCTGTCTGTATCTGTATAGCCGGTATAACCGCCTTTCGGCGTAACACACCAGCTTCGCGGGCACGCGGCGCGGCGGCAGCTGGCTATATTACACCGATCGACTTGTTACACCTAACCCTAACTGGTATTATGATAAAGTTATTACACTATGCCTAAGTTTAAATGGAGAGCCTATACTATTGGTGTATGGTGATAACGTTTCCTTGCCTGTCTGTCATTATAGATGTAGAGCTTTTAAAATTGTTTGGTCTGTTGGTTTGTTGTTTGGTCTGTTGCTTTGATACTGAGGAAGATGTGCTATTTCTAACCCTGGCACGAGTTAGCCTCCTTAGCTGCGCCATCAAAAGAACCCCAGTAGACGTAGAAATGACAGAAAGAAATAAAAAAATAAAAAAACATTACAAAGGCTCTCCAAAAGTTCCAGTCGTAAATCCCACTAAGGAGGCCGGTCAAGATTAGAGGCAGACTTGAATTAGGCAACAGCAAGGAATTTGTTATGGATGACATCCTCCGCAGACTTCAAATCTAATGTGATAGGGCGAAAAAAATTAGATGGGCAAAAAAACAAAATTCCCCCATTTCACAGGATTCCTAATCCTCATCTTCAACCTTTCAGACCATAAGCCCTGTTAAACAAGAATTAAGGTGACAAAACAAGACATTACAACGATTCACATCCATTGTATTCAGCAGTTACTGTATTACATGTCCTTGTAGATGTATGAAGACTTTGATTGACCAGAAATTGTAGCAAAACGGCTTGTTATACCATAATAGGCAGCTACGAGTAGTGAACAGGGTTATATTCGGTGGAGCAAGTCAGTGTTCAAATTTGCAATCAAATGTGCCTGATGTCTGTTGGGCCCTGGCTCTTAACAACCGATATGCATTTACATCAAATTTTTGGCATGTTGACTACTGTCTGAGGACAGAAAACCCTTTTTTCCCTAAATCAGCCGAAAATCATTGCGCGTGCTGATGTCATCCATAGAAATTACTTGCTGTAATTGATAGGTTTTTCACCCTTCGTAACTCTTGGATCTCATAGAACGAGAACTCCTTATGCTTTGGTGTCAACAATGCCTGTCTTGCTCATCTTTCCCCAGGTCTGGAAAGCGTAGTTGTCCAGCCCTAATGGTGAAAATAGAACATGTAACTAGAAAGGCCAATATTTGCTTTGGAGCAAATACAGCGATGGGTTCACCACATTTTACGACATGGCAGGGAAAGAATGGGAAACACAAGGGAAAACAATGATTTACATTGATATAACTATAATATGAAGTAAAATACAACTAAAACAACAGTTGGATAGCTATTCCCTACTTTATTGGTTAGGATTTTTAATTGCATAATGCAAACTGTTGATTTTCAAAATAAAAAAAAAACGTTCATGCCCCGCATTCCAATGCTGGAGCAGGCAAGCTTGAAATACCTACCAAAACACTTGAATACAGACATACTGTCAGTATGGAAATGCTCTGTGCAGGTGTTAATCAAGTTAAATCCCAACAGCCAATCAGCAAGAAGTATAGAGGAAAGCTGCATGCCTATTGGTTGATGCCCTGCATTCCATTGTGATGACTCATGCCCAAACGTGGTAAACAAGGCAGACTAACACAGTAATACATTTGCTATAACACAGCCAAAAAACTCAAATAAAACCATTCTAAAAGCCTGTATCACAATAATTTAAAAAACGCCTAGGGGTATTTGCCCACTGTACCTCCATACCAAATTTCAGGACCTTAGGCCCTAAAATGAAGAAGCTGAATCCATTTAAAGATATGGCAGGAGGAGGAGGAGGAGGAGAAGAAGGAGAAGAAACATCAGAAAAAGCAATATGGTTTCACCACACCACTTCGTGGTGTGGTGAACCCATAATAACTAAAAGGAAAATGGTGCCACAATAAACAGTCTTAATATAAGGCCACAGAAAGATATTTATTGTTACAGATAACAACTAAAAAGCACTAGATTTAGAATTTTCCTTATCAGAATAGGAAGTTTCCTATAAACTCTATACCCTTTTGATAATGGGTGCAAATACGTTACATGCATTCTAGATCTAATAACGAGTTTTCAAAAATCAAGACTTGCGAGTTGACATACACCCTCAAAATCAAAGAATAGAGCTTATTCACCACACGTCATCATGACGTCACGACAGTCGGGAAACGCAAAAAGTCGCTATTTTGGAACAGCCCCGGACTGTGTCTGGATAATAACAAGCAAAGGCTGCGGGGGCCATCGGCCGCCTTCCTCAGTCCGCACTGCCGCGACTGTGGCTGGACAAGGTGAGTGTTGCGAGTTGTCAGCGCCCTGTTCTACATGGACATTTACCACAGAGTAAAGGGACAAGTACACATGTAGCTCCAACAGATTTACCGTGTTCATGGCTACCCACGTTGCCATCTACATGTACATGTACAGCCCCGTACGCCGCGCCAGGGTAAAACACACCGATTTCTGATCAGCAAAAAAAAGATAAAAGCCGATCTTGAGAACATGAGACGTGGACATGGAGCCAGAACAACCCCAAGGACAATGTTACTAACAAGAAGAGTGTTCAAAACGTAGATTGTGGCCCAAAATACGCAACTATCGCCAAGAGTTTGCATAGCGTACCATAGCGATAGGCACCATGTGGCACCCCCTAATGGCGGACAATGCTCGCTGCCGGGGGGAAGAGTCACGTGACAATCGGTGGTGAATAAGCCCTATAGCTTGCAAGAAACAGGCTATAGGAACAAACACTGCACGATAAGTTTGAATTAGGAAATACCAATACGAGTAATAGTAAATGTCCATACCCATAACTTTTTAAGCAATGAACACTATAGAGACCTACCGACAGTGTCATTATCGCGCTTCTTCCTCCCTAAGGCCAGACCGCCCCGTTTCTTCACCAGAACACCGGCCACGATCAGAAGCACCATGATCCCGGCAACTCCAACAGCCGCTCCCACCGCGGTACCCAGCGGCACTCCGGCTGGCCCTGTGGGACAAGAGAAACAATTGTAAATTCTTACCCTAAAGTTTGGCTTGTTTGGCTTGAGTTTGAATTCAGTTTGACATTTTTTCTCACGAGCATGAATCAAGAGACAATGGTCTTATATAAGCATAGCAGCAGCCTCTAGCACAAAATGAATACAAACATGGCTTACACATATTCTACTGTATGTTTAGGAGTCCAATTTTCAGTAGCATGTGGAAAAGTACGTATGTATAGCATGAGCAATCTTTTTTTTATTTATTTTTTAATGTTTTCCTTACTGTGGGGGGAAACATGCTTTTTCATCTACCTGTTCCTGCCTCTTCTCCGGACTGCACCTGGAACGGTCCTTGGGTGATGTCCACCTGCTTGTCCCTGTTGCTCTCCCGGCGAACCCTGGTCTCCGTCCCGTCCGAGACGGCTCGCCTGCGCCGTGCTGCTGGTGGGATGCAGCCCTGTTTGCACCGAGAGTCAGGGTCGTCCTTGAAGCAGATGATCATGGTGCAGTGGAAGTATACCTGCGAAATAATGGCATGTTATTGACAGGAATCGCATTGGTAGTAAGGAACAACACTGACAGTCAGGAACAGCACTAATACTAGTAGTCAGAAACAGTACTGATAGTCAGGAACAACACTTATCAGACCCACACCTCCGCCAAGCTTTTTCAACATATTATGTTTATTTATAATGATTAAGTATCCCCCTGACCCATGTTAATACAACTCATTTAGATAATGACAAACTCCGTTAAATGCAAGTTTGCAAAATAGAGAATTGCGAGTTTAAGAAACATACCACCATGTGTTGATTGACACTTTTTGTTGGCATGTCCTTAAACGCGTTTTTAGAATAGTTTGTTAATTAGATTAATGAATCATAATTGACCTTAACTGGCACCAAGTATTTAACCGTCTGTATTTTCTCCACCAACCAGTCACCACAGAAGTGGCATAGTTCGAACAGATTGTATTTTACCAGACTGGGGTCGAGAGCATTGGGGAAGGTGAATGCGTCAACGCTGTAGTACAGGGCCTTGTCGTTAGAAAGGTTATTGTCCTTCTGTAGAGTTTGATCAACCTGACAGCTGCAAAGTCAGAGAGAACAAATCATTTACAGCAAGACTCTAGTCTCTCCTGCTGAAATGAAACCCATGAATGCCATATGATTACATAAGTAACCATCCAACCTACCCTCCAACAAACTTATCAACCAAACAATTAAACCAACGACCTTATCACAAACAATAACCAAATAAGCCAGAGAAAGCTTTTAGCTATCCAGACAACAAACCGAGTAACAAACCAGCCAACTTCGCAGCCAATATCAGAAACCTACCCCAACCAACTAATCAAACATTCAAGCAAATGTAGTCAAATTTGCTCCTAGAGCAAACGCACCCATCGTCGATAATGCTGACCCTAGGATAGTCGTCAGGGCTGGTGGTGGGGGTGGAGACACAGTCACGGGCGAACAGCTCCAGGTTGTCCAGCGGTGACGCCACGCTCAGGCCGAAGTGAAGACGGTCAGATGGTGAGACCTGGAAGGAAAAAAAAATAGCAGTTTTCTATTCATTCGATAGAACGACCTACTGTTAAGATTATTCAAGTGTCCGGCCTGTATCTCGTTTGTTGTTGCATTACTAATAGGTGTCATTGGCAGATAACAAAATGACAAGGAGAAAGGTAAAATTTTCTGACCTGAATTGGAAAGTCGGAACTCTCGTAGCTTTCAATGAAGTCTCCAGAACTGTACATATGCATCTCTATGATAAAACTGTTGTTTGCATCAACGATTTGAACACTGCAAGGAGATTGCAAAAAATGGTTAAAGAAGTAGTAAACCTGAATCACGAATCATTAACAACTCTAAATTGTACACTACCAAAAATGCCAATCTTGTTTTTCTTCAGAGAAGAAAAATTTTCTTCCACTGAGAAAATTATTCTTCACCCAAGAAAAAAATCTTGTCCATGAGACAAGAATTTCAAGAAACTGCATTTTAGCATATTTTTCTTGTGGAAAGATTTCTTTTCTTATGTATCTTGAAC